AAATATGTGATTTAAGATGTCGGTAATTGCCACGATGTCCGAGTTTTTTTGTTTTTTTGTTTTTGTTTGTTTATTTGTTTTTTTCTTTCTTATGGTGAAGCTAAATGATTCACGGGTTGTCTATAGTGGTGCTTCGAGGCTTCGATTCTTAGCTCGTTCCGGGTCTCGAGAGGGAATCGTGGGTGTGGTTTTGTGCGTATAATTCTGTTTTTCTTTTCTTTTTTGCTTTCTTTCTTGCTTTGTTTTTACGACGTTTCTCTTCTTTTTTTCTTATTTTTTTCTGTTTTTCTCTGTCTCTGAATCTATGTTTCTCTCTCTCTCTCTCTCTCTCTCTCTCTCTCTCTCTCTCTCTCTCTCTCTCTCTCTCTCTCTCTCTCTCTCTCTCTCTCTCTCTCCCTCCCTCCCTCCCCTCCCCTCCCCTCTCCTCTCCTCCCCCCTCCCCCTCCCCCTCCCTTCTCCTCCTCACTCTTTCTCTCGCTTTCTCTCTCTCTCTCTCTCGCTTTCTCTTTCTCTCCTCCCTTGCTCCTCCTCCTCCTCCCCTACCTTCTTTTTTTCTCACCAAAAAGTTGTTACTAAGTTATTATCTAAGGAAAGTTCAGTTATATTTTGCTTCGCCGTAATAGCACTGTGAACCTTAATCTTAAAGTCGTATCTGAACTTTTATTTGTCACTTCGTCAGTATTCATGGATATTGTTGTTGTTGTAGCACTTAATTCGTTATAAAATACAAGAGAAAAGCGTCCGGATTTTAATATTTTATCTTTTATATTTTTATTATTGATGTTATTATAACTGTCATATTTGCAGTAATAGTTGTAGCGATGCTGGCGTTATTATAATGATTATTATTGTTATGATTACTATTATTGTTGTTGTTCTGTTGTTATTATTATCATTATTATTTTGATTATTGTTATTATTATCATTGTTATTTTGATTATTATTATTATTATTTTTATTATTATTATTATTATTGTTGCTGTTGTTATTATGATTATTATAATAATTATTATTATTCATATGATTAATATTATCCTCCAACTCATTACTATTATTGTTATTGTCATCATCACCACCATCATCATCATCTCCATTATCATTATCATTGTTTTTCTTTCTTTTCTGTTGTCATTTTGTTATTATTATCATTAGTAGTCGTAGTAGTAATATCATTATTATTATTACAACTGAACATCATTAGAAGTATCAATATAACATTGTTACCTTTGTTATCATCACCAGTACCGTTATTAATAGCATCACGGTGAATATAATCAGTTATCACTATCACCATATCACCATTTTTTCCTCACCATTGCCACCATCCTTTCTGATCATCACATAATCTCTACGTCACTATTTCTCATCATATGCAATACAGCCTTTTTTTTTAATTCATCCTCTGCAATCTTTATGTTATTTCTGCAATCATTACTTTTGATATCATTGTTACTTGTCCCACTCACACACGCACGCCCGCAAGCTCGCTCGCATGCACGCACGCTCATACACACACATACACATATACTTACACACACATAAACACACAGTTCCCCCTCCCCCCTCCGATTTATTGTCCTCTCTCCCTCCATCCCCTCTCCCTCATATCTCCCCTCATTTCTCTCCCTCACCTCCCTCATTTCTCCTCTCTCCCTCCTTCCCTTCTCCCTCTCATCTCCCCCTCTCACGTCTCTCTCTCCCTTCCCCCGCAGCCTCCTGTTCTGGAGCGACTGGAACCGCTTCGGACCCAAGATCGAGGTTTCGGGTCTGGACGGGTCGAACCGCCGGGTCCTCGTGGAAAGGGACATCTCGCTCCCGAATTCCCTCGTGGTGGACTACGACACGCAGACTCTGTGCTGGGCCGACGCGGGGACGCACAAGATCGGTAAGGCGCGTTGCTCGGTTTTGGTGGTTTATTTGCGGTGTTGTTGGTATTACTGGTACTGCTGGTGTTACTGGTACTGCTGGTGTTACTGGTACTGCTGGTATTACTGGTACTGCTGGTATTACTGGTACTGCTGGTATTACTGGTACTGCTGGTATTACTGGTACTGCTGGTATTACTGGTACTGTTTAGTATTACTGGTATTGTTGGCATTACTGGTATTGTTTACATTACTGTTATTGTTGGCATTACTGGTTATGTTGGTATTATCAGCGTACAATGATATTCTTTACCAGAGAAATCAGATTTCCTATATTCAAAATGTATATTCCTGAACTGCATTTATGTGTGTATTCCATTCCCGACCCATCTCGGCCTCTCCGTTAACCCCCTCCCCCCCCTTCTTCCGCCTCCTCCGGCAGAGTGCATCGGCGTGGAGGGCAATGGGCGGCGCACGGTGATGGAGGGGGCGCTTTACCCCTTCGGCCTCACTATCCTGGGTCAGGACTTCTTCTATACGGATTGGAACGAGTGAGTTGTCTTACGGTGGTGTTGGATGTGCTTTTTTTCGGTTCCTTCTTTCTGGTGTAAAAAGAAGAGGGGGAAAAAATGTGGAATAGTTGAGAATAGTTCAGATTTTTTTTCTTCTTTTTTTCGTCTTATAGTTGCAGTTGTTTTTGTATGTTTTTTTTTTTTTTTTTTTTTGTCTTGAGCTATTCGTGTTTCTCTTTTCTTTCTATTTTTTCTCGATCTTCTCTCTCTCTCTCTCTCTCTCTATCTCTCTCCCCTCTCTCTCCCTCCCCCCCTGTCTCTCTCTCTCTCTCCACATTACTCACCACTCCCCCCCCCCCACCAGCACGAGGATCCACGTCGTGAACAGATATTCCGGCATCGAGTCTCCCTCTCGCCCCCCTCCCCCCGGTGGCTCAGGGAGGCTGTATGGCATCGCGGCCGTTCCTCACGCTTGTCCTCCAGGTATGGGGTCAAAGGTCACTTTCCTGTCACGTTAGGTCATGCTAGGTCATATTGGGTCACGTTATCTCTTCACCTTTGATCATGGGTTGCGATGTATTTTTGTTAAGTAAAGTGTTAATGATAATTATAATAACAATGGTGATAATCGTATTATTAATAATATTATTGATAATGATATTAGTGATGGTAATGATAATGAGAATAGCTAAAATAATTAATAAAACAAACGTGACTTTTCTTCATGTTACTGTTAATCAAGTTTTTCGTCAAAGCCCCACTCTGGTCAACTGCACATCTCTTAAAACATATATTTACACACCGACATATAACATAATCGGAATTCAGGACTTGATGAATAAAAAATGACACCTTTAAGCATCAACATACACTCCATAAAATGTAATCAGAATCTAAGAAGTGTCACAGAGTAACCATATCACAGAACCAAAGTCTCATATCACAGAACAACCAAAGTGTCATATAACAGAACAAAGTGTCATATCACAGAAAAACTTAAGTGTCATATCACAGAATAACCAAAGTGTCATATCACAGAATAACCAAAGTGGCATATCACAAAACAACCAAAGAGTCATACCACAGAACAACCAAAGTGCCATATCACAAAACAACCAAAGTGTCATCACAGACCAACCAAATAGTCATATCACAGAACAACCAAATTGTCATATCACAGAACAACCAAAGTGTCATTCCACAAAACAACCAAAGTGTCATACCACAGAACAACCAAAGTGCCATATCACAGAACAACCGACGCATCATATCACAGCAATCACCTCAACTCCCCTTTCTCTCGTTCCCACAGTGTCTAACGTCTGCGGAGTGAGTCATGGCAACTGCCCTGCTACCCACCTGTGCCTGCCCAATGGCCGTGGTGGGCGTACGTGTGCTTGTACGACCCACCCACCTAGTGGCGAAGACGACCAGTGTGTCGACTACAACTATTAAGTATCTTCCAGGTTCCAGCTGTTGAACGAGGTGACGCTAGCAACTCCGACTGTTTGTAAGCGTCGACTCTCGTTTGAAACAAGAAATTGAAAACAAGAACATGAAATAATAGTTTCTTTTATACAGTGACCAAGATGTTATTTGCACAGATGGACGTTGAAAAGAAATATAGTTGTACCATGGATATTTAGTGATTTTTTTTTTGAGGGACTAAATTGAACTGCAATGTTTTTTTTGTTTTTTTTTGGGGGGGGGGAGTGTCTTGCAAATATTGAGAATGTGTTAATTAAGGAATCAATTATTTTCTGGGCTAATGGACTATGCATACAGATCTAGATCTTATATATCAGGTTGTGATTCAGAAAAAAAACTTTTATCTTTGAAAGAAAATAAAATGTTAAAAATAATTTTTTATTTCTGGTTAAGGGATAAGTGTTAGTTCTGAGAAGCCAATAGAAGTTAATTCTGTAATCATTTATCTGTTCATCTTATTATTCGCGTTTTTAAGAATACTAAGAAAGAACAACATAACTTGGAATAATATATTTCACAGCTGAGAGAGTGTTCATATTTCCGTTAGACCTATTTAATTGAACAACGATTGACAATTGTGAAAGTAAATTCAAACACTGCCAACATAGAACAAACCATTTGAACATTGAACATTTCCCTTATAATGGATTAGAAACAATAGATGAGGAACAAAGATTTAGGACAAAAAGTTTTACATGTGTTCAATATGTATTAGAATATTAATCTTAAGGCCCACCTTTTGTTTTTTGCCGTTTGTAGATAAAGGTTGGAATGAGAATGCTTAATTCCAGTTTGAGAAATATTTAATTGACTTTTCGATAATCACATCAGATTGAATGTCGAAAATGCCAGTGACGTATTTTTTTTCGTTATGGAATTAAATTTCTGATTTTTAATCCTTATTGTTTTATATGTCTTTTTTTCCGCCGTATGTTTACGCCCTAAAAGTGGTGCAGTTCTTAATGTTGAATTTCGTGGGAACATGTTGATGTTTGTGAAGTCTTCCTTTTATTGTCGTACTGTAAAATTAATTCTAAAATAAAAATAATGTTGCATTACTATTAGAGTACTGTAAATGTATTGAAGTTGAAACTATGGACCTGTTTGCTAATAATTAAACGGCTGTACAAGCTAT